TTTTAATGCTCATTTTGGCTTCCAATGTTGGTGCAAGAAATTTGGCTGCAAAATCCTACTTTTCAAGTAAATCTTTCTATGATTTCTTTTTTCTCCTTTGATTCTTTTCATTGTAATAATTTTGATAATTAGGATTTGTTTGATAACGTGGGGCTATTGTAGTTTATTGATTTAAATTATTATAAGCTTGTGTATAATTTCTTCTTTTTTTTTCTTTTTTAATTTGACTTAATAAAAACGTTTTGCAAGTCTTAATTAGCTAGGTTAGCTTAGTTGGATATTGGTTTTTTAGTAACAATGTTTTTGTAAATTTGAGATAAATGTTTAAAAAAATATATATTTTTTATTTCTAAAATTTGGGTAAGATTTTAAAAGTAATTGTAAAATTTAAAAAAAAAATCAAACCCTAAGCCATTGTTACAAAGACAAAAATAAAAATTACTAAAACGTAGACAGCGAAAGAAGAAAAAATATACTAGTGAACTAACTTAGTTTTTAAAAATGAAAAATATATAAATATAAATATAAATATCTTATTTTATAACAACTTTATTTTATGTTTTGCATTCTTACTAATTAAGCTTATAATTTACTAAAATCATCTTTCCTTAATTTTGTACCTACTAAAACTACCATTGAATATTTAGATATAAAAAAATCAAAATTACTTTTTCTACTTTTTAAAATTGGATTTTTTTTAAAGTATTAATAAATTTTGTTATTGGTACACAGTCAAAGTCAAGATTATTACTAGCTAGATCGATTTCTTTTAACGATTTTCTTTATTATATTATTAATTTTTCTTCACTTTGCTTTTTCATTTGCAGATGTCATTAAACACGACCAAGTTAATGATAGAAATGTTCGAACCCTTGTGCGAAGAACCTCTCGAAATGGTCACATTCATTGGAGTGGTAACTTTTAATAATCTAATTTGAATAAGTAATTAAATTAAATGTGCTGATTAGTTAAGTTTCTTTATTGATTATTGATTATGTTGAATGCTTTTTAGCTCAGCTTCGACATTTGTTGGGCATTTCTATAACATGATTTTGAGTGCTTTGTTAGTATACTATTATACAATTTATTGGTCAGTGTCAGCCATCTGGTTAGTTATGAAGAGGTATTAATTTTACACCTATTTCAAAGTTAGGATTTAATTGAATAAAATTAAAAATTTTGAGTTAAATTACTAACTTAATAAAGAGGGTAATGTATAAATGGAAATTTATCCAAAATTTAAAAACCTAAACAAAAATGCATTTGAAAACTATTATTACTATTTTTTTTAATACAAACAAGTGGGGTATGAGATTCAAACTCATGTTAAATAATAGGTAACAGTTTTTCTCCTTTTCTTAAAAACCCGTTATCGAACAAAAATAACTTCAATGGAAAAATATATGAGACTCATTTGGGTACATATTTAAAATAATTTTGTAGTGTGCTCAACTAAAATCATAGATCACTAATTCTTGCATTTGTAATCTAGAACATAGTTTCCGTTAACTTGCTAGAACACAAAGATTTAGGATAGTTGATGATCAGAAAACAGAAATTTGAATTCAATCCGAAAGCCAAAATTTTCAATACATTGAACTAGTAGACATATGAAAAATATAGATAAAGAAAAATGTCTGACACGTGGAGAGAAGTTTAATAGGCTGAGTCTTGTTCTTGTATGACAAAATTGCTAAAAGTTTATATACTTTTCTCCAAGTAATTAAGCTGGTAAAGACGTCCTTCCCTTTCATTTTGAATGGAAAAATCAACATGAATGTGTAGTAGGGTCTTTTTTTTTTTTAATTTGGTCCAAACAAGCATCTATATCATTCGAATTTTCAACAAATTAAAAAAAAATAATGAATTCTACAAATTCAAAGTTGTGAGAGGAAAAGTACAGAGCATTTTAACATCTATTCAAACCCATTTTAATGCAAACATTTATGTCTACTTCATCTTGAATTTAAAAGGATGAGTTTGACTAAATTTAAATTTCATTTCATTCTTGAATTTTTGAAAGTTCTATTATTGTCTCGTTTTTCTTAAGTTTTCATATCTTTTGTTGATGGTAAAAAAATTCCAATATAACAAATTATTTATAATTTCTTCTAAATATATTTGATGATGTGATGTTTCATTTTAATACCTTGAAGTTCCCTAAGTTAAATACATAAATTGAAAAAGGTGAATTTATATTAGATTTTAAGGGATTATTTTCATTAAAAAGCGAAAAACTAGAACTAATGTTATTTTAGAGTTCATGTAGATATACATTAAAAAATTTTACTCGCTCTCGTCAATCATAGTAATATATTTTATAAGTTTTAAAATATTGGAATTAAATTGTAGTTAAGATTAAAGTATAAGAACTAAAATTGAAATTTAACATTAAAAGTCAAACTTTGATAAATCAAGAATGAAGTACAATATAATATGGAACACGTTAATTAAAAGAAGAACATTCAAATCAAACTCAAAAGAATAGTCGGACCATCCAACAACAACTGAGAAATTGTTTGAGCCTTTAATTTAGAATGAAAAAAATTGAGTATAAATAATGTAATTATAAAGCATGGAAGAGAAATAATATTATTGCAAAAGCTTTGGGGAGGGGAAATGGTGCACAAGAAGCTTGCATTTGCATGGCAGATTATTGTTCTAATTATTGTGCTTATATTGGCATCTTCAATGGCATCAAGGGAGCTAACAAATATCAAACCATGTAAGATCATCAATAAATTCTCTTTTGTTTTCTTTTTTTTTTTACTTATTTATTTATTGGTTTTTTTTTCAGACAACAAGTTTAGAGATCTAGAAATGGATGATCCTCGTGGTGGCAACTATAGAAAGCCAAAGAAGCCATGAAGGACGACCACCCAAACTACAATATCTATTTTATGTATATTATATATTATTCACTCTGTTTTTCTTTTTCTTTTCTTTTCTTGGGCTTAGATCTAAAATTTTATAGAAAAATTAATGAAAATTAAACTTATTCATAAATTATATGGTAAAGATATTGTTCATGTATGTACCAACTCATTGAGTCAAAGCGAACATAACTAAGTGGTAATTGATATAGGTTGTGAGTTCAATCCCCACCCCACATGTTGAAGATCAGAGAAAGAAAAAAAAATCAACACAAGTAAATTATAGTGTTTGGTAACTTTCGCCATTCTAAACCATTAAAAAATTGGTTACATTGTTTATTAAATTATATGATTTAGCCAAAGTAGACATATAATTTCAATTATATTTATAACATATCAAATTTTGTTATAATATATAACCATTTAAAATTTTATGTGCTTTAAATTATAATTTATATTTGCTTTTTTTAATACGACACTTTAGAGATACAGAGGATCGAACCTCCGACCTCGAAAAAAATAATATATATTAATTATCGTTGAACTATGTACATATTAATTTATATTTTCTTTACTTTACTTTCATTAGTAAAAGGTTAAGAAAAACAATTATTATAACAAGCAGTATCAAATATAAAGTTTCATTCGGGCTTTGTTGACTTACAAGAATCAGAAGGATTATCTTTTGATACATTTTTTTAGAACATTATTGGTAGAGATTAACGAGAAGTTTGGGGTGTTTATGTAAAGTTTACATGGGATATAGACATTTAAACCTTGCTTGATTTTCCAAATTACAGCGGAAAAACAAATAACTCCCTCTATTCAATATCATTATGGGGTAAAGAAGGTTCAAAAATTATTAAAAAAAAAACTTTCGTTTCTTCTCATGATCACGTACAGAAGTGCTGCCCTTCGGCTCAGCAATATGGAACCTCTCAACAGCTCCCGTTCCTTTATGAGGTCCTATCGGGATAGGTAGGCCCAAGCCTTTCCCCTCTTCCCGACCGAACAGTAAGTTACCCACGGCTGACAAATAGGAATTTAGGCCGTAAAAGAAAGGCACCGGCCCCCCACTGGGATTTGGCTTTCCTTTTCTACGTGTGCAGTGCGTCAGCACTGGCGAAAAAGAGGTTGACTTTACTCAAGAAGAAGGAAGGGGCGGGGCCGGGTGCTTGTGGGCCCCCTCTGCAGCAAGTGCTTGTTGGACCCCGTTTCCCAAGAGGGGGCCGGGCTGTGTTTCCCCAGCGGTCGGCTAGTGGCGGCAGAAAACGAACTTGGGTGGGCTTCGCGCGGTTCGCATTTTCTTGTGTTGAGAGCTTCTCATTTATTTTAGTTTTTTTGCCAATTTTGTAACTCTCTTTTAAATAAATAAATAAATAGAAATACAATAAACAAGGCCACATGTTAGACACGTGCGGAGCCCAGTCCTAATGGGCCTGAATTCCTCTGGCCCAATCAAACAGTTATTCACTCGGCCTTCTCAGGCTAAGCCCTACTTCCCTCGGCAAATATTTTTTTAACTGCTATTTTTTAATATTTTTGAAACTTATTTGGAAAGGTAAATATCAAATTGACTAACCTTTTACTTGATTTTAACCTATTCAGGTTTTATATATCTTTTTCGGTCCTAATTATCCTAATATCGTTATCAATGGATATTTTTTAAAATTATATATATAAAAATAACAAATAAACATTTCATCATAAAAAACATTTTTTTAGTACAACTCTTGTTGGGGAGGATTTGAACTCACAACCAATTACTGCTGAACTCGCTTTGACAAATATTTCATCATTTTTAAATAAATTAAAAATTCTTATTATTAATATTATGTCTATATTAGTGATATTTTGTTTATATTTTTTATATTTCATAACTATTCTTACAATATAGCAGAATACCGATTCATCTTGTGTGTCAATGTCAAACTCGTAGATATATAGAAATAACGGCATGTCAATGAAAATTTAATACCCTATCTACAATATAGCTCAATTAATTACCAATTATTCCGTAATCTTTATTCTTTACTCATTTTTTTTCTCATCGATTACATGATTATGAATTCAATCTGTAAAAAAAAAATATATATATATATATATGTAAAAAAAATAAATAATAAGTCGATTTGAAATTGAGAGATGATTCATTTGAAGAGTGATAAAAAGGGGAAAAAGAGAAACAAATAATTTTGAATGACATCAAATTTCACCATCCCACAAATCTTGAATGGTTTTGTATGGGCTTGTTGTGTCATTTACAAAATATTCCCCCCTCAAAATCTTTCTTTCTTCTAATTTTTCAATTTCCAAGTAATCTTCATCGTCCAATTTGAGATCAAGGGCGCCAATATTTTCTTTCAAACGGTGTTCATTAAAGCTCTTCACTATCACACTTGATCCTTTCCATAATCCCCATTGTAGGGCAACCTTTGTAAAACAAACAAACAAGAAATAAAAATAAGTATAACAAAACATTATCTCCTTTCTCCTAATGATGAAGAAAGATATAACTCATCTTAAATTTGACAAAATAATTTAATATTCTATGAATTTTCCTAACTGTGAAATTAATCGAGGTGTAATTAAGTTGATACAGACACTTACATATCCAACAAAAATACACAAAAAAAAAATTGAAAATAGAAAATGAGGTAGAAAAATAGGAGAGAAAAAAAAAAGGAAAATTGTTTAATAACCTGAGCTGGAGTTGCCTTGTGTTTGAGAGCGATTGATTGGATGACTGGACTTTGAATCACAGCCGTTGATCCCCATGCATTACCTGGCCCACCCAATGGAGAATATGCACTTACGTGGATTTTATGCTCTCCACAAAATTCCCTAATCTTTCTTTGCCTCCACATCGGATGCATCTCCACCTATTTGTTAAAAAATATTACTTTATTCATCAGCTCAATCCAAGGTATTAAACTTCCCTCATCCATAATATCGACATTTTTATTTATTCATGAATTCAACGTTGACATGAGGAGTAAATCAAGGTTTCTAAGTATTGCAAACAAAAAATAGATAAAAATAAAAGTAAAAAAAGAAAAAGAAAAATATTTGCATCGTGAAATTAATGCTCGAGATGTAATTTAATTCAAGCATTGATTTGCACCTAAAACTTTAATATCCTAGCTCCTACTAGCTAACTATATAAAACTTTGAATTGTTTGACTTCTTAGTCTTTAAATAATATCACTTCTTCAAATTATAATAATGCATTATATTAATAGGCCAATGAATTCTATTTCATACTCCAAGCTTTCTTGACTTGTACACTTCTAATAATTTCTGCACTTTCAAATTATGAGATTAAAACTAGGTACCTTTTTCATTAACTTCAAAGCTCATTTGATTGACTTTGAACCTAGATTAAATTTGGCCACCACTTTATCAAATAACATCTTTCTTTTTTCTTAATTTCTTTTTTTAACCAAACAACTACTTTAAAAATATATATGTATATAAGTTTAGTTTATATTTTTATTCCATTTACTCTAACTTTGCATCAATTTAATTAGTTTTTCTACTAGTTTTGTTGTTATATTTATGATCATTTGATCAAAATTTACCAATTTTAATAATAAAAAAATTACATAAATTTAACGTGACAAGTTTTTTTTTAGCTACACTCTTAAAAGAGGTCTAAAAAATCCAAGGAATATCAATGCTTTAAAACTTTGCCTATATGTACATATTTTTTAACCAATGACTCATTTTTCACATCCATGAATTGCTTGTTAGGTTGATTTTTTTCTTTTAACAATAGAGAGTGCATGTTAAGCTTTTCTACGATAATTAATGAAACTCTTAAAAGCAACTGTAATTTAACCTTAAACGAAATTCTATTGGATAATGAAAAGTTTAAATCAAATTTCTATACTTAATTATTAGCTTTGATAAGAGCTAAATACATTATTTTATACATTTTACTTATATGTATCTATATTTTCTTAAATGAAAAAAAAAAAACTTCAAAATTAAGGTAATCATATGGACCATAATATGTCTTGGTATTTTAAAACTGCCCTATTTCTTTGAATGCTCTAGAAAGCATATATTAATGTTGGAATTAGTTTTAAAAGTGTATCAAAGGTAACAAAAATCCAAAAGAGACCAACTAAAGAACAAAATAATATAAGTGAGAGAGAGAAAGTACCTGATTAACAGCAGGAGGTATGGAAGCAAATTCTAGAATGGATTCAACTTTGTTGGTGGAGAAATTGCTTAAACCAATGCATCTACACAAACCCAAATCTAGGCATTTTTCCATTCCTGCCCAAGTCCTCTCAAGATCCAAAACTTTCTCAAAGTCACCTTCCTTGGGAACTGGGTAACATGCCCATGGCTTCAGTTTCAATGGCCAATGCACCAAATACATGTCTATGTATTCCACTCCCAACTTCCTATAATACAAAAATCTCAATTACTAAAACAAACAACGCAACTTTAACCTCCAAATTCACCTTATCCAAATGTTGATTACAACGGTATTCCAAGTATTTGAGTATCTCTACAATGGTATGATATTGTTCGTTTTGGGTATAACCCTCACGACTTTATTTTTTGTTTTATCCAAAAAACCTCATACCAATGGAGATAATTTTCCTCGTCTATATTTCATGGATTTTGCTCTTCCCTAATCAATGTGGGACTTTGTTCGTATTCTCTTCAAAAACCCAATACTAAATTCACAAGTGAAAACATTTCGATTGATGCTAATTCTTTCAGAAAGAAAATGGGTATGAAAAGGATAATATCGAGAGACCTGTTTCTAAAGTTTTCACTTTTTCATCTTTTTCCTTATGAATTTTCATGTGGGGTTGAACAAAAAACGAACTTTTCTCTACTGGATTACCTTAGTGTTTGGTTCAATGCTGAAACAGGATCATGGTGGTCACTTCCCCATACTTTTGATGTAAGAAAGATGTCTTCTCTTGCCACAGTTTTGTCCAAAATTGCAGCACTAATCGCTCTCCCAACAGCCGCCTCAGATCCATAAATCGTTGCTGTATCAAAATGCCTATAACCCATCTGAAAATCAAAAGAAAAGTTCCATCAAAACAAAACAAAACAAAAAAGAAATTGAGAATAGAAACAATTAAGTTAAGCCAGAAATTGAACAAAAAAATGCACAAGTTTATACATTGATGGCCATATGGACGGCTGATTCTATGGCTTTGGGGTCAATTTGGTAAGAAAAAGTGCCTAATCCAATGATGGGAAGATTTACACCACAATTCAATCGAACTTGATTTCTCATCATTCCCACTTTTTTTTTCTCTCTCTCTTCTCTCTCTCTATGTAATAATTAGGAGACAATTTGGACAGGTGATTTACAAATTTGGTCTATGTATAGGAAGCTGAAGTCAACGTTGTTAACTGTCTCCTAACAGGACATTACAGCTTATGATTCTTTATGGGCAGCTGATGATATGATGATTCATTGGTGTTGGTGTCTCAAAAATTAAAGGGCTGTGGGATCTATCTTCCATGTTTCATGGGTTGCCGTTGGATTGGCCTTGATCTTATCATTCAAGGGACAGGATCTAATCGTATTCTCTCTCTCTCTCTCTCTCTCTCTCTCTAAGTGTTATGGAATTTTCTTAGAAGAAGTCAACAAGTTGGTTTTGAAAAACCTAGAAGAATTAATGGCAGCCAACCCCATTATCGTATCATTCAAAAATTTTCCTTGATATTATCCATTACAATAGTTGGATTTCATGTTAGGGAAGGAAATTTGTTTTTAAAATAAACGAATGAATGAATTTGAAATGGTTCTTAATTTAATCTCATATTGATGCGTTTCTGAAAAATCCAAGGAGTGAAAAACAAGTTTGGTTTAGCAAAAAGTATGGATCAAATTATGAATTTTGTCTTGTATCCTTCGAGCATTATATTGTGTTTGTTTGTTTAGTCTTTAAACATTATAATATATATGTTCTTAGGTTTGTAGTCCATGTCATTAATATATAATTTGTTGATAATCCAAAAAATAACTATTAGATATATTATGACCTTAAATTAATGTTACTTCTAATGAAAGTCTCACCACCTTTATTATTCTACCAATTGAGGTTATCTAAAACCCTCTTTAAAAATGCTTAGATTGAGTTTATTATCAGCTTAATTTCTAGCTTAATGTAAGTGTATTTTTTTGTATTTGGCTTATCAGTTGTTATTTTTCTGCTATATAATAGTTAGTATTGGTAGTTTCTGTCGTTCGGTTGTTGAAAGCCAGCTCTTTCTTCTTTTTTTTGTTCGTCCAAATATTATTTATCGATGACTTTGAAAATAATCGTCTTGGAAAATAAAAGGATAAGGAATTGCTTTTCAAAATAGCTCCCAAATGTTTACTCATTTATAAGAAAATTTGTGTGCTAGGGTTGAGATACAATATATAGTAGCTAGGCTTATAGGAAACTAAATGTTTGTGTGTTGACTCTCCTATAATAATAAGAAGATAATCTTAAATTGTTTTTGACTTACAAATCTTTGTCAACGCGTTGATTCTTTCTTTTTCTTATGAACAAATAAAACTAAACGGCATTAAATCAACCTTAATTGTTAGCAAAGGCATAGACCATGCAAACCTTAGAAAAATAAATTTTAAAATTTAGAGCAAATCCACCGCTAGCAGCTCACATTGAGCTGTGTTTTCGTTGTCATATTCATATCATATTTTAGAAAATAGAGAATGTTGAAATATTAGATGTAACATAAAAGTTGAATATTTAATTTTAAAAAATAATTTTATGTAGAAGAATTACATTTTTAATTTAAAATTTTAGACAAGGAGAAATAGTAAATAGTTATCAAACATATTTTTGTTTATTTTTTCAATAATAGAAGAAAGAATCGGAAACAAAGAAACACTTATATAACATAGTTAGTATTTTAATTTATTAAAAAAGAGGAAACGAGGAACAATAAACATAACAAAAAAAAACAAAAAACAAGAAGCATGAAAGTCTAGGAGAATTTATACCCAAAATAGACAATATTTCATATATACTATATTGTAAAAAATACAAAGAGACGATCTAATATCCTAACAAGTAGTATAAGAGTACAAAAAAAGTGAATCAATGAGGTACATAGAAAAAATTACATTTTAAGTACTGGGATGTATCAATATTTAGGTATTGAGATGTCTAAGGTTGTTTATATTGTGCTTTAATTGAATATCATTGGTGTGTAAGTACTTGAAATCTACATATATATTACCCAGAGACATCAAACACATGGAGGAGGTGGTTGAAAATTTAAGACATAATTAAAAAACAGAGTTTAAAAACCTGTTAGGAACATGCTGGTCAATTGATTAAGTTAAATTAATATGTTCATTAAGCACAAGAAGGCACCATTAAACTAAATGCCTGCCAGACAGACAGAGAGATCATTGAATTTACCAGCAATTATTTGCAATGTTTGAACATGTTCTCCCTTTGCAGCCTCACGAATCACATGTTCATAATTAAATCATCCTCTTCCACTTGGACATCTAATTAATTTTCTGTTGATGCAGCTGGATATTGGATATGTAGAAGCTCAAATATTCATCTAAAAGATTGATTTTTTTTTACTGGAAAAATAAGGTTGGGCAAAGAAAAAATTTCGCTGACTTTAGTTATAAGCATGACTAGACGAAGGGAAAAACTTAACATAGTAGTCTAGTTACAAAAGGAACTGAATCAGAAGAAATATTGAATCTCGGTGGAGATCGTCCCAATCTTGATGATGCACTGTATATGACCCCTAGGAGCCAATTTAGCTAAGACTTAGCTCAGGAAATGCCACATTACTTCAAATGGTTGTCAGTATGGGGTGGGGTCTTTGTTGCTCAGACATGGTTGAAGCTTGTTAATCTAACACCAGTCTTCAATTTTTTATATCAGTGGAATTCCACCTTTCAACAAAGCTCAACGAAGAAGTTGTGTTTATCAGGTGAGTAATTTATAAAAAAGTTGTATTCAATCTTTTTTAGATTACTATTATGATTAGGGACGGGTCTCGATGCCTCAAAAACTAACTATTTTAACAAAATAAATGGTAGTTTTTTCTATAATTCGTTAAAGATCCTCCAACCTTTTACCCAACAAAAGCTTGATGGAAGCTTATAAGTTCTCTAAAACCTAATATTCCATAAGTTCAAATTTTGTTTTATAATATTTTCCAAAAGAAAGGAAAAAACCTAACCCTCCATTGAATTTTGCCCAAGTCAATTTTCCCAGCTCATCCATGAATTTCTTCGTTTAGACCCGCACTAAAAAGTAGCAAAATTTCTTGTCTACACTTGAAAAAAAAAAAAGTATTCTTTCAACCTTTAGAGTGGTTCCATATAAAACTGCATTTCAAGTTTTTCTTTTCTCTTTGATCCATAGCCAATTTGCAAACTATTCTTGCGACTATTATGATTTGAACTTATTTCTAAGTCCATTATTATTTATGGTTGTTGCGATTGTATTCTAAGTTCCCAACGTTCCAACATCCCTCCCTAACTCACAGTTGTTCAAACTCGTGCCTCGAGATGATATAGGTCAATAGGGATGCATAGTTCAAAAGTTACTGTACACATTGGGGATGAGTATCATAATTCTGAATTAATGAAAGATTAATAAATTAATCCCACCAATTGCTATATTATAGAACTTCGAAGGCCAATATGAATATAACTACTCATGAATATAACTACTCAACAATTAAGGTATCTCTCATTCTCTATAAGTTGGAAGTTCAATCTTCATCCCCGCCTTTGTTATACTCAAACAAAAAAAAGCGTCTTCCAAGACATACCCAGAATGTCAAGGTTTGGTCAATCATTCCATTTGTGCATTTACTACGTTAAGCACACGAACAGAACAGTTCTTTACAATTCAACTAATCCCAAGTACAATAATTGGCATATAACATTGCTGAATCATATAATAAACTAAACTACTATGCTCTAAAACAACATCAAAATTCTAGCAAATGGGTGAACTGGGTCAGGTTAGTCTCTAAAACAACATCCTCTGTTGCTATTTTTCCTTTATTGAACGTCTATGCTAACCACCTAGCTTGATTATAAATGACTATGCTAAGTATGTTTGAGCTAACAATTGGCACGCAACAGCTATTTCATTATATTGCCATGTGTAGGTTCCGAGCACTATGCAGCAGTTCATTTTCATCTTTGCTAGAAAAATCTTCCACCTTTCTTTCCCATACAAGTCCCAACCAGACTCGAGGAGAGGAGCGATTTGGTATCTGGCCTCCATTTCAAATTCTTGAGGACAGAGAAGACTTCAGAAAGAGCAGGAGAGACGCAGCTATCTTTTATATTCTTACACGATACTACTTCGAGGCTTTGAAGCTCCTTCCACTGAAGAACTACCGACTCCAAGCCTTCTGTCGTTAACAATGAACATCCTTCAAGTGAAAGCAGCCTTACCCTCCTACGGAAAAGAAAGTAACCACAAATCAGATATCTATTTTTTTTTTCTTTTTGAAAAGCAGAGCTTTCATTGAGAAAAATGAAAGAATACAAGAATACAGAAGGACATACAAAAAAATAGTCAAGCAAAAGGCAGTCAAACTGGCTCTAATTAAACGGCTTAAACCAAAACGCTTGGCTTCAATTAAACTATCCAAGTCATCATTCATAAGTACATACTTCAAGGCAGGTTCAGAAATTTCTTAGTTTCTTCAGCAAGGGTTCTAAACGTGGTCTGGTGGCCAAAAGCCCCCTTTCCAGATTAATCAGAGAGAAGCCACTCGAGTGGCCAACCAAAACCAGGTCCACTAGGCTGTGTAGCAGGTTATGATGGATGGTGGGTGACCATTTACGGAAAACGAAATTTTCAAATTTTGTGCATAATTTCAATTTTACACAACTTGAACTGTAGATAGACACTTCAGGTGTAAGAGACTGTTCGGAATGTTGGTTAGCCAATGTCTAAAAAGTTAAGAGGTCATCCAGAACTCAAGAAGGAACCAAGTCCACCATAAATTCAATGAAAATTTTCCATCAATGCTATCTAATTATGCACGGTAGCCTCTAGAAACAACAAAAAGGATATCATTCCCTTCTAATGGAAGAGTTCTACACTTAACAGAAAAGAAACCATATAATCATGGAATGACTAATGAGATAGTCACATAACAATACACATTCAGAAACCAAAATTATTCCTCGTCCTAGTAACCATATTCAGTTACTTGCAGAAGCATCTATCTGTATTCTGTAAGAGGCTTCTATGTCTCCTAAAAGCATATAAATTATTGACTTTTGATAAGAGCAAATGATTTGGTGCCCACGTAGAAATGTATAGAAATGACATGGATGAAGTATCAAACTATGGAAACAGCCAATAAGATGATATCGAAAAAGTATATAGATAGAGCCATAACAAAATTGTTTGTTCCTATTGACTTTTCACATCAAGTGTACGGTGAATATCACCTCACAATGCAACTTCTATTATTCACTTCAAAAGGTTAACAGTATAAACAGGTAAACTAAATGTTTGCCAGACATAAAGATCCCTTACCAGCAATTATTTGCAAAGCTGAACATGTCATCATCCAATCCCCAGCAATCCCGAATTAAGATCTCCCTAGCAGCCCCACATGTCATAAATAAAGCCCTTACACTTACTTTATCCCGCAATTGAGAATTCTGCAAATGCAGCCGCTCAAGAGCAGGACAGGAGCTCAAATACTCATCAGGACCAGGATTTGCATCAATCCTCTTACATGACATGATTTTCAGAGTCTTCAAGTTCTCACAGTATGGAAGCCCAGCCAACCATCCATCATCCATCCTATGATCACAAATTGTCAATTCCTCCAACATTTGGCAGCACTGCCCAATCGCCTTAATCCCATCAAAACTCCCCTCACAACCGACAAGCTCGAGCTTCAGCAATCGTCTACAGCCTCGAGCTAGAATAGTCAACCCGATATCTGTAACCACCGAACTAAAGAACCCATCAACATTTCCTACTAACTTTACTATTTGAAGATTCTCAAACGCCGCAATTCCTTGGAGCATGTTGTCATTGCACTTATGCAGCTCAAGTTCTTGCAGAAGTTCACACTCCTTAGCCACACTCAACAATCCCAATTCACTACCACCTATAAGAGCCAACTTCCGCAAGTTTGGGCAACCACTCGCCAGAACCTTCAGCCCTCTATCAATCAACAAACTTTCCAGTACAATTTCCCCGCCGACATCCGAGCAGAGCAAAAACCAGGGATCAATATGCAATGAAAGAACCCCATGGCTCAACAAAATACTCGAATTCCTGGACGAAACCCAAGACCCAGAAATCAAATCCACTTGATTGAGATTGGGAAACCTCAGAACCAACCTACCCGACAAAAGAAAATCAAAATCCGTAACCCTGAGAGAGCGTACCAGGCGGCCCTGCAGGTGAAGCCAGCGCTTGCAGACAAGGGAGTTGGAGCTCCGTTGGGAACCAGGTAATTTGGAGAGAACACGAAGAAGAAGCTCGTCGGAGAGCAGCAGAGTATAGTCAATCAAATTTGAAATTGGAGGTTTGGTTTTGGAGTCAGGGGAAGGAACAGAAGAATCGCTAGACAAGGAATGGAGTCGCATGGAGACAATGACATGCTCGAGGGAGTTCGAATTCTTGAACCAGACCTCGAACAGGGCTACCGTCTTCTTGTTCTTCTTCTTCTTCAGTGGGAAGCTAGGGTTCGGGTGTGGCCAAGGATTGAAGAAAAAGAAGAGGATAGAAGCAGAACTTGCCTGATTTCTCAGCCTCAAAATTGACGGTGGAAGTAATTTTCAGAATTAAAAGGGTATCGTTTTCTGTGAACAAAATTGTAAATTTTGGATTAACAAAACGATAAGATTGATGCCTTTCTTTGAGTGGAAGTGTAAATTAGGGTTCTTAAGTGGATTGATTTGGCTCCATTTCTTAATCGGAATTTGATTCTATCAAAATCGAAGCAGTTCAAACTTAAAACCAATCAATATTCAATACCATCAAAATTAAACTAACCCCACATTTGTTACTCCAACTGATCAAATCTACTTGAATTCGTTAGCTCGGTTTTTTTTTTTTTTCAATTTTAGATTCATTTAACATAAGTTATGAAAGAACAAAAATTAATAAATGGTTTTTTTTTTTTTTTGAGGAAATCTGTTTCTAAATTATGAAAAGTTAAAAAATAAGTGATGGGTATCCCGTATCCCATATCTCATTTTTAGTTAAAGAAAGATATGTTATTTTTTCAAAATGTAAAATTAATTACATATGTATTTGGAATAATAGTAAATTTCTTCATAATATGACCCTAAATCTATGCAAAATATGATTTATCAACAAGATTCGTACTTTTAAATTTATTTATTTCTCGGAGAATATGTATTACTGCTATGTCTCTTTTGTACGTGCACTGCCTTAACTTGCAATTAGTGAATCTAAAATGAGGGAGTGGAAGAAAATACAACAGAAATATAACTTTTAACTTGTCTAAGAATCATATTTATAAATTAACTTTTATTTTTCAAAACTAAAAATTGATTATTTATGCAAAAAAAATTTAACAACACCTTGGTTTTAAGTCATATATGGGACTGGATGGTAAAATTTCCTGATTTGCAAGATAGTTTGATTTTTAAATTCGACACTTAATCACACCGTCAGTCAAGCACGTCATCTTTAGCCTTTTGGAATAGGCGATGTATTAGACACATATAATGAGAAACACATATAATGAGAAAGGGCACCGGAGCTCCTTTCATAATAATGTTGTATGACGACAGAGAGAATAAGATGGTCTTGGAGTACGTTCAATGGTGGCATCACTTAACATTTTTTACTTCTCACAGGGAATGAACCAACATGTTTAAAGAGCAATAACCGCTGATCAAGAAAGAGCAAGGAGTCAAAGTCCTCTAAACCCACATATGGATCGATTCCCAAGCGGGTCGTAAAACAATGAAGAAATCGAATTGAACTCAAAAAAAAAAAAGCAAAAGAAAAAAAGACGAAAATAAATATTTACGAAAATTTCTGACCAAACTAGAGCATTCAAAAACTGGAGTAAGCCAAGCCACAGCACACATCACAGCAATGCCAGTAATTCTATTGAGCTTAATAATGGAGGAACTGATGATATTCCTTTACAATGTGTTCACTAGTATTAAGAATAGCAATAACAAATAGCAAATACTAAACCAAACTATGACCAGTACAGTTACAATCTACAGTATTTAAAGAGGGTAGACGACTAACTTGCTCGAGACATATCAGTATAAAATAGGAAAACGAGCCGATGCTGATGCCGAGGTTGATATTCTGCAGTAATATCCTTATTCCTTGGCATCTTCATCTTCCCTCTGTGCAAAATACAAGGATGAAAGTCTAGTTATACGCTGTCAACATCTAGTTAACGAGCTTGATGAACAAGAAGACGATTACAGTACAATGTCGTCGGAGCAATTTCGTTTCGAGGATTCCTCATGTTTGTCGTGTAATTGCGTGATCATGAACACCGGGCAGAACTTTTATGTCCCACGTTTTTTTGAAAAACCTGCCACCCTTCTTTCCCATGTGGGTGCCGATGAGACTTGAAGGGAGAAGAGATTTGGTATCTGGCCTCCATTTCAAATCCTTGAGAATGGAGAACAGGGAAGAGAGAGCAGGAGAAATTCTGCTCTCTTTTATGTTCTTACACGATACGACTCGAAGACTTTGAAGCTCCTTCCATTGAAGAATTACAGACTCCAAACCTTCTGTTGTTAGCAGTGAACATCCTTCTAGAGAAAGGAACCTCACCCTCCTGTGAGAAAAGCGACCACAAGTTAAACACAGAATTTCTTGCTAAACAAGTGCTAATCCAATAATTCTTCCAGAGTCATAAGGAAACGGTTAATTGAAACAGGATGAACAATTCTTAATTTTTCAAGTTTAAGGGGAATGTAGATATGCCGTATTGAGTCATAAGCAACTCGACTGACTGGGCACAGTCAAAGCCAGATTCCCGCCATAAATGATATAGATTCTCTATGTAATTCAAACCTCACTTAAATACCAGCATTTTCACCAATTTATTTGAAGCAATGGATCCCTAAGAACAATGATCAGCCTAGAACCTCACCATGGCTGTTAGAGGTTCTGCGTTAAATTCAGGAACCTAACCCAGCAAAACAACATGATTCTAGTACTAAAAGGCTTAAGACACATCCCAGTCACAGACCAAACGTCTATGCAGAAAAACTGTAACAACTTCTACGGCCTGCATCAAAGCATATCAGTTATAGATTATAGAACTTTTATGAGAGCACTCAAGGAGATGCCCCGCCTGTGTACTGCACTAAAATAATCTACAGGGAGTTAGAAATTTGAACAGTGAACTTCATTAAAAGCCACAGAATATTTGGTAAAGTTAAGTTATTATCAAATAAAAGGAGAGACTATTTACCAGCAATGACTTGCAAAGCTGAATATGTCATCCACCACTCCCCAGCAATCGCGGATGAAAATCTCTCTTGCAGCCCCACAAGTAACAAACAATGCTTTAGCACTCCTTTTATCTCGTAGTTGACAATTCTGCAAATGTAAATGCTCGAGAGCAGGACAGGGACTCAAATATTCGTCAGGTCCAGGATTTGGATCAATCCTCCTACACGACATGATCCTCAGAGTCTTCAAATTCTCACAATATGAAAGCCCAGCCAACCATCCATTGTCCATCCTATGATCACAGAGTGTCAGTTCCTCCAACATTTGGCAGCACTGCCCAATAGCCTTGATGCCATCAAAACTTCCCTCACAACCATTCAGCTCAAGCTTCACCAGTCGTTTACAACCTTGAGCCAAAATAGTTAACCCAATATCAGTAACCACTGAGCTATAAAGACCATCAACATTTCCAACTAGCTTCAGTATTTGCAAATTCTCACAAGCTGCAATTCCTCGCAGAAAATTATCGTTACACCTATGCAGTTCAAGTTCTTGTAAAGTTGCACATTCCTCAGCCACACTCAACAATCCCAACTCGCTCCCACCAATAAAAGCTAATTTCCGCAAATTTGGGCAGCCACTGGCCAGCGCCTTCAGCCCTCTATCAATTACCATATTGTCTAGGATATTTTCCTCACCCACACCCGGAATAGGCAAAAACCAAGAATCAATATGCATCGAAAGAACCCTATTACTCAACAGGATACTAGAATTTCTGGAAGACATCAAAGACCCAGAGACTAAATCCACTCGGTTAAGATTCGGAAACCTCAAAATCAACCTACCCGACAAAAGAAAATTCAAGTCCATGACTCTGAGAGACCGTACAAGGCGGCCCTGCAGGTTCAGCCACCGCTTGCAGACCAGGAAGTTGGAGTTCCGCTGAGAATCCGGGAGCTTGGAGAGGATCTTGAGAAGAAGCTCGTCGGAGAGAAGCATCGTACGGTCGAGTTTGCAGAATTTAGTGATGAGGGATTTGGTTTTGGAGCTGGGAGTAGAACGAGAGTCCTTACACAAGGATTGGAGTTGCATCGCGACTATAACATTTTCAAGAGACTTGGTGTTCTTGAGCCAGACATCAGACCAGCGGGGCGCCCTCTTCTTCACCGGCGAGCTAGGGTTCGTTTGCGGACTGGGAACAGAGCCAGAAATGGAGCTTCGTCTCTCGGCTTCAAACAGCACCGCTTGAGCTCCATGATGCGCGTAACCCATGGCAGAATCAAGATGAATCTCTACCAATCACCGCCACGTCTCGGATTTCCAAATTACTCAAGATTTAGTCCTCCACTGCGGCACTGATTCACCAATCAGAATCTACAGATTTCAGTTCCTCCATTGACATTCTCTTCTCTGTAAACAGTAGATTTCTGGCTTCTGGACAGCCCCCTCTTCTCTGCTCTGCACTTCTTCGCTAAAAATTTTGAATCGCTCTCTGTGTCTCTTCTGTGGCTAACGGGCAAAGGGAGAGGTGGGTCCTCAACAAAATGAAATCTTTTTGAAAATTTTCATAATCATTTAAAAGTTTTCTTCTTTTTGTTCTCATTTCCCATTTTAGGATTTTTTTTTCCCTCTTTTCTTCTCTATATCCATATTAGGATTTGATGAGTGCTCGGAAATATGTTCCCATTTCTCACCTTTGAAGTATAAATTCTCTTACCATTTTAATAATTCTGAATGGTTGGATTACTTTATAATATTTATAGTTTAGTGGTAAATACAAAACAGACCGGCATTATTTTTAAATGTATACCTATTCGTTATGGACCGAATAATATATGTATAGCTTAGTTCATAAGATACATATTATCCTTCCAAAAACCATAGTTCAATTTTCCCTCTTATAATTATTGAACTAAAATAAAATAAAGGTTTCGAAAATAAATATTATATAACTCGGATCTTACAGTTATATGCTATAGTGCTATATAGACTTAATTTATGACCTAAATATCCTCTAAATAATTATCGTCAAATATAAAAAGTGAGTGAGAGAGAGGTTTTGAATTTAGTGGATTAAGTAGGAAGTTTTATTTAAAGAAATAGCGGAAGAAAGCATGTGTAACCCCAAAGAGTGGACAAATAGAAATACCTACATGAAATTAGGGTTCATGATTGGGAGTATTTTAGTGTGTGTGTTTTTTTTTTTTGGGAAATAGGCACATTAAATACTTTCTCGTACATTTTATTTTTTATATTTATACATATACTTTCTAGACTAAAAAATTTTATTCCAACAGCAACTCAAGTTCATTTTTGTACTCAATAAATATATATATATATATATATTAGAAACTTCATATATTAAACATGAAAATCTATGATGTCCTTTAAAAATATTTTTCAAAATAAACAATGAAAAGCAAAGTAAAATCAATTTCGATATTAAAAAAAAAAGGAAGGACTTGAAGTTTAAAGATTTTAAAAACTTATACCTATGGAAAAAATTAGTGAGTTTTTAATATTAAAATCACTAATTTATTGGATAGGGTATGAGTTTCTAGTACTGCAGAACCACACAATCCCATCAAAATGGTACAATTTGGGCCCACACTCTCATTCATGATAAGGTAATTTTATGGGTTATTATGTATATATTAATACTAGATCCAGATCCAATTATATGGTAGCTTTTTTTACCTAAATGGTAGGGTTGATAATGAAGAATAATATTTTAGAAAAAAAAAAAAAAGAAAAGAAAAATTGTAGTTTAATGTGTCAGAAAATGACTTCTGCAGATACAAGTTTCATTTTGCCTCGTATTTTGGAGCCACGTCACACATAACCGTTAATTAGCCGTTAAATCCAAACATTTTTTTCACCCATTTGCGACTTTTTTCTTTTCTTCGTTCTTGTTCTTGGGGACTCGGAATTTAAATCTTCGGATCACATCAAACACAATTGAGAGAGAAATGGAAGAGTGGAATAAGCTCTAGATATTTTCATCGATAGTTTTTTTTTTTTTTTTTTGAAGCACATCGATAGTGTTATAACTTATGTTGCGACGTTGATAAAAAGATAAATTAATATTTTCAATACATCTTAAATATATCAAAAAAATGTCAAAATATCAAGGAAATCATCCTTTTTAATCTCGTAACAAATCAAAACAAATAAGATTTAAGCACCATTCTTTGGTTCTATCATAAATCGTTGTTCTTGTAAAAAATTAATATCAATTACTGACAAACCAACACTTAAATAATATTCAAATCAAAATATCCCTCAATTTAACATTAAAAAAAAAGGAAGAATCCAAAGTCCTATTTTTAAGTTATAGATGGTTCAATAATCACGTTCAAGCCAAACAAAGAAATAAACAAATAAAAAAAGGTGCAAGTTTGTTTGTTTGGTCAAAGAAAAGATAAAGGAAACTTTGAAGCCAGATCAAAATCAAAATTAAAAATGCTAAATTTTGGAAAGTCCAGAAAATGTATAATATTGAACAAATGAGTAATGGTAGAAAGTTCAGAATATGTATAATAATGAACAAGTGAGTAATTCGGGAAGACCAATTTTGTCTTTAACTATAATTAAATATTTGACAAATGCAAAAAAGTAAACTTTTTTTTTTAAATAATAGACATATTTAAATTGAATCAAAGCCGAAATAGTATTTCTAACCTAAATTATTATTTTTTTAAAATGAATATGGGTAAAAACTAATAAACAAATGAAGGAAGGTCGGACATGAGACCCGAGGCCAATATGGGTAATTTTATATTGTTATATAAAATTAATAATATTACCCATATTTTGTAATCTACAAGAAAAAATAATAAATGTCAAACCGAGCATAGATCAAGTGGTTAAGACATCTATCTCTGACTAAAAAATCATGAGTTCAAATCCCACCGTACTCGGAAAAAAAAAAGAAAAAATAATAAATAATAATAAACCCTCTCACTAACTCTGCTATCGAGGCATTTAAAAATCCAATTGAAAATATACAATAAAAATATACAACCAAATATTCCGACAATGCTGAAACTCTCCTATTTTACTAACAAGAGACGGATTTTTCATTGATAAATGAAAAAGAATAACCATTGTTAAAAGATACTGGGCTCCCGTACATCAAACATATATAAGAAAGCATTACTTTTCCTTTCACCTCTAAATTTCCCATTTCTATTTCTTACAGATATCAACGGCTCTAATTTAAATCTTTTCCCCTTTTCTACAGTTTCATGATTCTAAGTAACTTTCAGAAGCAATACATACAAGTTGGCTGAAATTTCCAGAAGGGTGAATAAGTTAAAAAGATGGTGCAGGATGGGTAACATACAAAGATGGTTGAACCTTGAACGGCATTGAGCTCACAAAAATACATACGGAAGGAAGATCATGATCGAGGAGCTGCCATTTGCTGCTTCTTGATTCGTCCTCCTTGTTTTACCATGCTGTAGTTAAAGCACCAAACCGTAAAATGGATCAATACTTTAGGTATAGTAAATTTAACACTTTATTCAACCTATGGACAGAAAAGAAAAGCTATGAACTTGGTATTTTGTTTTATAATTGGGAGTCGGAGTTTTGCCTGGACGTAGGAGACATCAAAGACTTTTAGTATTAAGTTTATTGGAAGGTTCGAACTTAAGACTTCTAAGCCAGTATGCCCAAGAAACCCCAAATCCTTACCAACCAGGCTGCCCAAGGGGAAGCTATGAACTTGGTATTGTGAACAAAGATTAAAACTATATATATACCAAGTGAAACTCAACGATTAAACATCTCAGTAATTACCCGATTTCATGAGGGGTAATAAATATCCATTGGGAGCCTTGTGCCAATGCAAAATCCACGAGAGTGTCTAAGCTGATCTTTCGACTTACTGCATCCTGCTTATAGGGAAGCTTGTGAAAAGACTAACTCTTTTGCTTTACAAATATAAATCTTACACAACATTCTCTGTGGCTATCCATATCAGAAATATAATTAGAATACAAAAGCCAAAAATGAGACAGTAGCTCACCATAAACACATCAAACTCATCCATTGCGCGAAATGGGGCTTCTGTCATTTCATGTAACGCTAAAGTAAAGCATAGAGTTGAGAATGACCGTTCTCCACCTAACATTGTACAATTCCATTAGTTCATTACTATCGTTCTTCAGTGCATTTGCTTTATAATACATCGATCAATAGACATTTGAGAAAATATTTCACATAGAACAACGTTGAGGGAGGCAAATAAAAAGGTTGAGGCATAAACCATTACAAGTATTAAGTATTAACAATCAGCATGTAATGAATTGACAATCAGTAGGAAAAGCATTTAGAAACTACAAGTTAAGACGTTAAAAAAAGAAAAACCAAGCCATAGAGGAAATTATGCTGTCAATTATAGCAGAAGAAACCTGAAAGTCCACGGGTATCACGAACAGAACTGCTGGATGCATCTTGGGGCATCTTCACCTGTTGAGGAAATGCATAATATTCAAGAACATAAATCAATATGAGGTTTCTAAAAAGGGAAAAAAAGGAAAAAGAAAATCCAGTTAAACAGGTACTGGTGGCAAAGATATTATTTCAATACATGAACTCATTAAGTGGGCTTACCTCAATTGAGAGGGTCTTTTCCTCGTAATTAACTTTTATATGTCCACTGATCCCTTTTTTCCTTAAATGACCATTAAACCTGAAAAAATGTTTCATAGTCAAGTAAAATCTAACATAGCTCTAAAAGGCAAAAGAATACAAACTGAAAAAATCTCTGAGAAGACAAAAGAAATTCATACTGCCAAGTCAATTGGCGCTTCAAAAGATTAGCATTCCTTTCAAACTTTCTGCGCCGCAGCTCTAGAGCTTTCTGGCAAGCCTGTAATTCAATTTGCGAGTACGTTAGAAATATGAATGCTTTCTTGGAGGGTATGTAGTGCATCTATAGATGAATGCCGTTTCATCCTGTCTTAAACAGCACATGATGCAGTTTGGCACTCCGCTATTAAGTATTAACTACTAATGCTACTAGTTCCATTTTCTGAAATCCTTCTATTTAAATCAAAAAAGTTTCCTGGAAAAAGTTCACATTGAAATGCAAAAAGATTTATGCTACCTGTAGACCTACTATAAGCCTCATTTTAACCGTCAGCTGAGAAAGGTGACTAGAACTACAAATGAAATCTTTATGATGGTCTTAATAGGACGGACCCTTTTTATAATGGAAGTTTACAATTACAACCACATGACCTACAGAACGTAAAGCAATCAATGACAAAGAAAAACTTCAACTATTCAATTGAAAGCTAATGCGTTTAGTTGTAAGATAACATGCCTAAATGCCCCTATACAAGTTGACCCTTGGTAACTAGATACTCGTATTTGTTTAAAAACAGATTAAATATCAATATCATTGGTTTCAGATGCCTAAGAAAAATGTTAATGAGAAATGTCACTTGGATTCCACTCTCTCCCCATTCCAGTAAACTTATGAGGGAGAGAATCCTCACACTCGCATGAAATTAAGGTCTTCAGAACTCCATCATCAAAAAGCTGAAGCTGAATGCAAGAATATCAAAGTTTATGCAGTTACCAATCCATTAAAACAGAGTGGGTGTCTGGGATGCAAACGCATTTAATTCTAAGTTTTGGAACTAATCGACAATGAAGAGAAGATTGCAAGACTTCTAGAATCCCAAAACTTAACATTCTTATGTAGAATTATAACATCCATGAAGAGTCATATGAGCGGAAAAGCTCAACTGTACCACTCACATTCAACTTCTCTCTAAAAGTTCTGTAAGTCTGTTGTTTTCTTATGATTGTACGTTCCTTTTTCTCATACATCATTCTCAGGTCTTCCAGAGATTCAGAACATCTGGGAAAGATTAAAAAGTTAGCATATTTCAATCACGATTGAGGCTTCGCATTATACCAAATTTAAAATTATTAATAATTAATAATTAATAATTAAAGAAATTAATGTCAACACCGCCGGGTCTCATTGTTAAGTCTCTGATTTAGCCTCGTTAAATGTGCACTGAGTTGTTCAGGTGTGCTCCCATCCCAATCACCTAAAGCCTCAATTTCACTCTCAGGACATATTATTGAAGCCTTACTGTAACTCTCCTGCAATTGAGATGCCATCATGTCATTGGCATGAACAAAAATTTGTGCATGCTATTCTATAGACTAATAGACTGTATACATTGTAGTAAATGATCATAATTACCTTACGGTGGCGCTCAAGCTCCTCATATTGTCTCTCTGCTTCTTTGATATCAGAAAGGACCTTGTTAGCCATAATACCTTCATAATGATCCTTTTCCTGTGACATTTATAATTCTTAAAACATTAATAAACTGATAAGGAGCAGCAAAAAATTTCAGTGAACTATTCACAGGGCAGGAATAAAGAGGAACCTTTTCTGAAGAATGCAGATCTCGTTCAATCTGCAACATCTCTCTCTCAGCTTCTTCAAATGCATCAACTTCTCCTTTTGCCGACTCTATTTTATTTTATTTTTATTTTTTGGGGGGTGGGGGGGAGTGGGAAGAGTGATCAGTAAATGTGAAAAAAAAAAAAAGAAACTCATAAAGAATCTGAATGCTAAAAATAAAATCAATGCTCCGTACCACACAGATTCTCAAATGATACTTTAAGATCTTTTGTCTTTGCTTCCGCTTCTTTCTTTCTAACTCTCAACTTTTCCAGTAGCATCTCATTCTCTTGTATCTCCTCTTGGATTTTCTGGTAATCATTTCCATAAAGACAAACACTATTAAATACATTCCTTAGACAGGAGTGACCATAAATTTGCTTGCACATATATTAATAAAACACAAATATCACAATAAACAATCTTACAGAAATTTCTTGATGAAGCTCATCAACATTTGATGAAGGTAATGAATTAGTTTCAGCAACTTGCGACTTCCGTAAATCTTGCAGCTCCAAATTTTTGGACATTAAAAAGTGTTCCGCACTCCGACACTTCCTCTTTAAAAATATAATAATAATAATAACAAAGAATCAGATGATGACATGAAAAAAATGAAATATAGAATTTGAATTCGTGTCACTAATAGAATGGTGCAGAAATTAGAAAACTTGGTAACTATTTGTGGTGTGGTTTGGGTTTGGCTCGGTTCCTATCAGATACTTTCCCTGTCTTCCATCATGGTGATTTTAGCAAAGGTCCTGCAATTGTTTGAAATCTTTTGAATCCTGATGATAACATTCATAACCTGATTGTCTCAAAAAAAGCTTCTGATTCAAAATTGTAATGAGAATTGCAAAGTAGTCCTCAATCCAGATCACAAGCTCTCAATGAGAGAGTCTCTCTCTGGATAAGAAACGACGATATATCAAACAGATTAACTTTCGTTTCTCTCAGCATTCCTAATCTTACTACAATCAACTTCTCCCTCAAATCTATCATAAATGAATTTTCCCTCAAAAACTTGTGCACCAAAAAACATCTCCTGATAAGCACCATGACGATGACTAACAAAAACAGATGAGACTAAAATCCCCAGCATGGATTCGAACTCAGCTAGAGAGGCATCTATTGAACAATCTTAATCTTACTACGACCAACTTTTCTTCAAAATCTATTGTAAATAACCTCAATAAAATTTTAGCCCTAGAGAATTTCTCCAACCGCAAAACACCATGAAGGCAACTAACAAAAAATGATGGGGCTGGACTCAACCAAAAAGCATTTCCCTCAATAACACTTGAGCGCTTAAAATGTATCCCTCTGCAGAACACCAAGGCCATTACTTTATGTATATTTGTATCTGGAATCTGTGAGCTAAATTTAGGGCATAAAGTCTTCTCAACTTGAAAGTCGTAGTCTAAAAAAGGCTAATTTATTGAAAATTTACCAAAATATAAAAGGGTTCAAGTAACTTATTCAATTAGGAATAATTATTTCAAGAAAAGTCTACAGACATCGAACCAAGATATTCAAAGTACTGATAAATTGTAATTCAAGAACAAAAGTTCTTAATTAGAAATTAAACTTCGACAAAATGGATGCAAGAAGATAAGAGGATGAAGCATCTCAAAAGAAAAGAAAGATAATTTCATTACGGTGATGAAATGTCTAGTAAAGGGCAATTACAAGAAAAAATATTGTCTAGGTATAGCAAGGAACTACTTTCCAATGTTATCGATGAGAATTTCTCATAGACAAGATCCCAATCCACCATTGTCTTGAAATCCATTTTTACTTTTAATTATTGAATGTTATGAAGGACCTACTACCAAGAAGGATCTCCACTTCCATTTTCTACCAAAAGTTTGTTTCCTCAGTGGTGTAAACCAATGGGAATAGAATTTGAGATACAAAAGTCTACCTAACTAGGGAACAAGGAGATCTTTAAATAGTAGTCCAGCTAACTAACTCTAACTACCTAACTTAGAAAATACTCAACGGCTATAAGGCTTTTAACGGTCATAAATAGACAAGCCTTTATAAGCTACATCAAATTCCCCCTCTCTTAAAAAAAAACTCATCCTCGAGTGCTTATTTAGCTAAATCAAACTCATCAGCTGCCTTATACTCATACATATCCACAACATTGAAGACTAGGTGAATCCTTGGATCATCCGGGAGATTGACCCGTTCAGCTTTGTCACCATACTGTTGAAGAACTTCAAAGGGGCCAATCTTTTTATTATGTAGCTTGTGATAGGTTCCTTTAAGGAATCTGGATTTTTTGAGGTAGACCATAACAAGATCGCCTGGGCGAAATTGTTTGTCTCGCCTATAAGCATCTGCTGCTTTTTTGTAGGAACTTGTAGCTTGAAGTAAATTCTCAGTCACCTCCTGATGTAGTTCCACGATCCTCTCGGCCATATGCTCAGCTTCCTTGTTAAAATCCACAGCAGATGGAAGATTAGTAAGATCTACCGTCAGTCTAGGGAGCCTTGTATACACAATGTCAAAAGGGGACTTCCCTGTGGACTGGTTCTTCATATGATTATAAGCAAATTTCGCTTGTGCAAGCGTAAGATCCCATTGCTTTGGTCGGTTGCCACCTAGACAGCGTATTAGGTTACCCAATGTTCGATTAGTGACCTCAGTTTGTCCGTCGGTTTGTGGATGGCTAGTGGTGCTAAACTTCAAACCTGTATCAAACTTTTTCCGCAACATTTTCCAGAAATGACTTAATTTTACATCTCTATCCGAAACTATTGTTCGAGGGACGCCATGTAATCTTACAATTGCGCGAAAAAACAAGTTAGCTATGTAGATAGCATCCGAAGTCTTTTTACATGGCAAGAAATGAGACATTTTACTAAAGCGGTCTACCACAACTAATACGGAATCATGGCCTCTTTGATTTTTTGGTAGACCAAGTATAAAGTCCATTGAAAGGTCTTCCCAAATAGATTTAGGAATTGGTAAGGGGGAGTATAAACCGAGGAATTTCTTGATTTAACGATGTTTTCCTAAGAATGCTATTTTGGATGTCATAAAAATGAACACTTAGCCAAGTTTATATATAGCTGGTTCCGTTCTAGAGTTTGGAAAAGGGCATAGAGGTGCTGTAAGTGGTCATATTCGGACTTACTATATACAAGTATATCATCAAAGTAAACAACAATAAAATTATTAAGGAAAGGATGTAAAACCTGGTTCATTAGTCGCATGAATGTACTTGGTGTGTTGGATAAGCCGAATGGCATAACTAGCCATTCAAAAAGTCCCTCATTGGTTTTAAATGTCGTCTTCCACTCGTCTCCGGGTCGGATTCTGATTTGATGATATCCGCTCTTAAGATCAACCTTGGAAAATACCTGAGCCTCACTAAGTTGATCTAACAGATCAGATAATCGAGGGATGGGAAAACGGTATTTTATCGTAATCTTGTTAATAGTACGGCTGTCCACACACATCCTCCAAGAACCATCCTTATTAGGGGCCAATAAAATGGGAACAGCGCAAGGACTAAGGTTTGGTTGAATATGCCCCTTACGAAGGAGATCCTGAATTTGGTCATGTAAGATTTGGTTCTCCTTCGGACTCATACAATAGTGAGGCAGATGTGGGAGAAAGGCCCCTGGAATAAGGTCAATGCAATGCTGGATATCTCGTACAGGTGGTAGACCCGAAGGATCTTTGGTAAGGGATGAAAATTCAAATAGTAATTGTTGGACCTCTGGGTGGGCTGTAGGTCCCTTATTAACCAACACCACCACTAGTGGATCATCTCGTTGCAAGAAAGTTTTTCCACTAATAAGTGTAAACAATTGTGTAGTTGAAGTAGAGGGGTCCTTTCGTAGTTTAGAATCCTAGGAGGATGGTAAAAGTACAATCTTCCTACCCATCCAATGAAATTCATATGTGTTTTCTCGTTCCCTATGTATAGCCTGTAGATCAAATTGCCACAGACGTCCAAGAAAGATATGACAAGCATCCATGTCTAAGACGTCACAAACAATTTGATCTCTGTAGTGGTTTCCAATGCTTAAAGGCACAGTACATACTGAATTTATTGGTGTTTCGCCACCTTTTCGAATCCAAGAAACCTTATATGGTTGAGGATGGGTATTTAGTTTAAGATTGAGGGCGAAAACAAGCTTTTGTGACACCATGTTTTCTCTACTGCCACTGTCAATTATTATGTTACAGATTTTGCCATTGACAGTGCAGCGTGTACGGAACAGAGCATGGCGTTGAGTAGGAGATTCTACTTTAGGTGCTAAAAGAATTCTTTGAACTACACAATTAACTACATCATCTTAGTCGGGTTCTATATAGGTAGTTTCTTCTTCCACGGGAAGATCAAGATCAAGACCTTCATTGGTTAAATCATCTTCATCCACCATAGCCAAAGTACGACGCTGGGTACACTCATTGGACAGATGTCCTTGTTGACCACAACGGAAACGCTTTCCCAAATTTGGGCAGGCATATGTGGTAGGACCTTTCCACACTTTTGGTACACCAAGCTAACCAGGAATAGTGGCCTTAGGTGTACTGTCTACTGATTTTAGGCCAGAAGAAAGCGGAGTACCTATAGTGTTAGAGGAAGAAGAAGGTTCGAAAGGAGAGAGTTTAGTACCCGATGCCTTGTCCCATGCCGGGCAACGTTGAGTCGTTCGAACACGCTTTCGTTCAATTTTCTCTTCTACCTTGGTTGCGATGGAAATGGCCTCAGTCAATAGTCCAATTGGTTGAGTATCCATCTGATCTTGGATGTCATCACGTAACCCATCCAAGAAACGAGCAATCTTGTAATCTTCGGACTCCGATAGATTTGTGCGAGCCCCCAAACGATGGAACTCCTCGACGTAGTCAGCAATGGATTTAGTTCCTTGGTGGCAACGTTGGTATTGTTGATAAAGGAGCTGCTCAAAGTTGGCAGGTAAAAAACGCTCACGCATCAATCGAAGCATACGAGGCCAGCTCCGGATGAGGCGTTTTCCCAAGCGCCTCCGGTTGACTTCAAGATGATCCCACCACGCCGAAGCACCGGACTGAAGTTTAAATGCTACTAGCCTGACCTTTTTGTCTTCCGGTGTGTTGGTGTAATCAAAGAAGTTCTCAACGTCCTTGACCCAATCCAAGAACGCCTCAACTCCCAACTTCCCATTGAAGGTAGGGAGATCTATCTTCATCTTATAATCGGTTTGCACCCCTCCCCTGTTGTGAACATCAAATCTGTCAGCATGGTGATTTCCCCGGACGAAGAGATCTTCTTCTTCATACGAGTCCGAATCTTGATTTCGCAATTGGATTTCTTGAAGTCTTCGACCATGTCCATTCGGGTTTCGAATCAAAACAGGGGAACGCAAACGATTTCGTGGTTGGCGAACTCATTCTTGTTCGAGCTGTCTGCCGCGATTACCAAGGTCCTCCCGCAACCGTTCTTGCTCTATCGCAATATTCTCCATATGTTTTGAAAGGTTCTCCATCAGACCATGAATTGTCTGAACACTAGATCGAACCTCCCCTAACGAATCTTCTTACCAGCAACAAGCACTTCATAGCAGATTTTGGAGACAGAGGTTGAGAAGGAACCACCGCGGGTCCTTTGCCAGAAGTCGCTTGTTTCTTCCCGCCATCAGGTCCTAGTTTCGGGTAATTGCTCTGATACCAATTTGGTGTAAATCAATGGGAATAGAATTTGAGATACAAAAGTCTACCTAACTAGGGAACAAGGAGATCTTTAAATAGTAGTCCAGCTAACTAACTCTAACTACCTAACTTAGAAAATACTCAACGGCTATAAGGCTTTTAACGGTCATAAATAGACAAGCCTTTATAAGCTACATCACTCAGCCAAGGTTACCAACATCAAAGCGTCTTTTACAAATAGGATAAGTTACCAGAACCACCTCTCAACAAATAATGTGCACGCCTGCACTCTCATCTACCCCCGAAGAAAATCTTCCATCATCTTATCAGTGTAATGACTTGGATTGAAATTTTTAATTGATCTTCTTGTCAACAGGAGGAAGGTTGGCTATGTTTTAGTTATTCTTACAACTTATTTTTATCAATCAGTCAACCAAAGATAGCCGTTGTTGGCTAACTTTTTCCCTTTCATTGTGAATTTAAAGACTTGGATTCGAGACACACGTAATCAAGCAGCAATAGACGTAATCCACAATGTAGAAAGTCATTGCACTTTGGCTACTCCATCTCATAAACAAATCTCAGTGAGACCCCAACCTAACCGTAACCAAACAGGATAAACAAGGACCAACGTATAAACAACAATGATTATAAAGATAAATGTGTTATTGGTATTGGTAAACTTTAACACCTTTGCATTGCTTAGGTTCTCGTCAAGATCCCCGAGTTGTTCTTCTGCAGCTCTCTTCCTCTTCCTACATCGCTCGGTTTCTTCTTTTACATTCAATACATCTCTTTCAAGACTTTTGATGTGATCATCAAAAGAACTACATAGTCTGCCACTTCTAGGTCTCCTAGCTGGGGGAAGAATTGTCTGAACAGAACCACGAGAAAACCTATAAAGAAATGATGATAAGTTTTTCTGATAATTAATTACAAGGAAGCAGTCCTATTGGACTTTGGAATCAACCAATGAAAAAATACCATATATAACAAAATGAAGAATAATCCATTTCAGCCAAAAGAAGAAAGCAATTTATTATAGTCACAAGGTATAAGCATTCTTGCAAAACAGAGACAAAATAAGCTCAAGTCCACAAAGTTCCTGAAATCCAAATAAATTAGTTCTGGTAAGAACACATACGAATTATGAATGAACTTTGCACTCTTGTAAAATTATTATGCTTTATCTACTCCCAATCTGCTATGTTAGAATTCATGATTTTGTAAGCACACAGCCATTCTCAAATGCACTGCCGTAAGTGTTAATGATGGAAGAAGCAGGAAAAAAATAGGATTTAATATTTCAACTTACATTTTGTATCCATCTAATGTATAAACCTCCTTGAGGTTTGAGATCCGTTGGTCAAATGCGACTGATTTACCCACATCATAATCTTTAACGAGCACTTGCCTCTCAGCATCACCCTATAAAGCAAAAATCAAGGTCATTGAAGAAAACACGTCATTTGTCAATTAACAACATCCTGTTGGGGCGCAAAAAGGAGCAAGCAACAAAGACCGTAGTATAAAAAGAAAAATAATCAAAATAAAACACTGAAACATGAAAATTACCTTATCTACCAAAACATTGATGACAGTATGGTTTTCAGAGTGAACGACTGAAAGGGTTGTAGGGTGCTCTGTTTGAGGAAGCATGTGAGCTGGAATATTTAACCTACAAGGAAAAGTGAGAGCACAGGAAAAGATAAATTTAATGTTCAAACGAAGGATCATGAGGAAGCAGAGAAGAAAAAAATGTCATCCACCTACAATGGTCTTGAAAAGTCATAGATGATAATCGGGAGTTGCTTATAATTAGCTTCATTTGCACATCCTCTCAAAAGAAGAGAATCTCGATGATCAGTCACAATGAAAGCATTGAGCAACCTCCCGATGGCATTTTCAACAGCAGGAGCCCACATATCACCGTTAACCAAATTCTACAGAAAATAGTGTCAGAGACAAAGGACCTCAGTAACAAACCAATTTTGAACCACATATGGATTAGCAAAGAAGCTCGTCCATTTGATTATGACAATAAGAAATACAATATTTTAAATGAAGAAACTCAAATGTCAAGAAAAATGAAATCAAAATACATCAACTTGACAAGAATAGCCAATAGGACTTCATCTATCTATCTTTTAATGTTCATCCAAAGTTCCAAAGTTATTTGGCCAGCATCAATGATCGATCATACACAAGTGACAAGCCACATCACCAATAGACAGTAAATCAACTATTGACAATAATCCTGTGATACTATTTGACATAATTAAACTTGAAAACAATAAAAAGTAAAATAAAATAATAAAAAGTAAAATAAAATTGCCATTGTCCCAAGGAGATTCTCATGACCATAACAGAAATGGAAAGTTGACAAAAGAACAGTTACAGAGCAGCACCCTGTAGCTAGATGAAAAAATTATTACATAAGCCCATTATATATTATGATACCTCAAAAAAAATTTAAAAATTAAATGAAAACAGAAAGGAAAAGTTCAAGTGTAAAAATCCTTTTTCGTGGGTGGGGGCGGGGATGGGGCGGCCTCGAGATTCATAATTTGTCTTTAGGGAGAAGCCCCAACTCCCTCAAACAAGAAGACGTCTACAAGTACATTGTAAAGTTTTCAATGGATCCCTGGCTTCAATCCATCTCTTGAAACTGAAATTTCCCTCACAATTACAGTTATAAGATACCAAACCAGAAATCCTTCCTGGATGTCACCTAGAAAAACATTTCCTTAAAACCTTTCTTTCTTTAAGAGTAAATTAGCTAGGTGATGGTGTACGGAAAAAGTAGTTACCAAGAACTTTAATTTCTGTTACTGACCAGATGGGAACCAATTGGGCCAATGGGAGGTTTCTTGAATCTTTGATGTTGTCTCTCAATTGCACGTAATAATTGAATGACCCTATCACCTCCGAAAGCTGTGACCTGTCCAAAACATAAGTTATGCCTGTTATCATCATTGGAGGCAATAGGTCAAGTTGGAGAATATATGCTGCCTATACATGCAAGTATTTAATCTACATAAGCAAATAAAAATACGAGCATGCACACACTACGATTGAAAAAAATCCCCAGTTAGACAGGTATCTAAAATCATAACCCATTTAATTTCTCACCTTGTTTGTTTGATGTCGCCGAAGCTCTCGAATAGAGTGAGAAAATTCGTAATGCCTTTTCTCATAACCTTCAATCTGCAAAACCACCATCATTTAAAAGTACATATTTAACAAACGTAATAGAAAAATGATGCATCATGACTTAATGATGATATGTTTTGACACAGAGAGCACAGGAACAGCAGAGAAATGGAAATATCCATTGCTTCGTTTAGCATTTTTAAGAGGGTTATGTCCAAAAACACTAATACAAATAAATAGTGCATATACTTACTAGAAAACAAGATGCTAGAGTCAATAACAAATAGAATCAAAACCAAAGCGATAAAAACAATATAACAGTTTGAGGCAAAAGAAACAGGAGCTATGACAGATAAGATACCTATTGCAAAAAATTCATATGGCTAATACATAAAACTTTCAACAAACTGAGCTTGCTGTTATAAATGGCTATGAACCTTATAAAGCAATAATTTTCTATCCCACAGTCAAGTAGAGAAAAAATTTTGAAATATTTGGGACCTTTGGAAACAAGTTTAAAGATCTCAGCCTCTTGGTAAAGACGCCTCATTTTCAACTAGAATACCTACTCATTGATTGTATGATGTAAAAGAATATTTCCAATAAATAAATTCAGTTTGGAGAATCGTAAGTTTTAGCCTAATAATGCCATTAAGAAACAAGACCGATCAACATTTGCAAGTAAACAAGTTGTAAGAGTTTATAAGATCAATTAAGATTTGTGAAAGAACATTCTAGCATCCAATAAGTTCATCCTCATACATGTGTTCATAGAGGCAGTGACCCCTCATTATATAAAGAGTCACACAGTATCAATCACAAATACCTCGGGACAAAAACATGATAACCAAAGATAAGACTCTTTTGTATTCCACAATGGAACAAAAAATTGCGACGCAATATCCAGTAGGTTGCCATGGAAGGATTCTCGATCCTTACCTCTTCAGCAATCCTTTTTATTTCACTTCTCACACTTTGTAGGCTATCCAATAAGGCATTCTCCTCCTCCTTCAACCTGTAACGTGATTCAATAAGATACGGTGCAATCTATCCTCATGGACTCAAATTTTTATTTTTATTCTAAAAAAGGGGACCTATGAAACAAATAAAATAAATAACCTCATTACTGTTGATTTAGCAGCTTCAGACTCCAATTCGAGTTCCTTCAACTTTTCCTCAATTTCAGATTCTTCAGCCTACAGGTAATTAACAATTGTGGGGGGTTGAAATTGAAAAGGAAAGCAGTGAAAAGTTCAGAGATGTATAGTTATTTACATCACATAAGATAGAGAGTCATAATTCAATCTCAAAGATAATTTGACGTTAATGGTATAGATAAAGCCTTGACCATATCAAACAAGTTTAAAGTAACTGCATTAGGAGGCAACTCATTGCCAAATGAACAATGACATGGATATATGGATCCTTGTTTCAAGCGTATGAGAGCAGCAATGACTTGAAGATATAGCTAAGGTAGAAGCACATTTTTGGAAGGTGATAAGTGCAACTACCAATATAAACTGATTATATGTACATAAATACGCAGACACACACAGATACATATGTACAAATATAGCTGAGGCAGAAGAACATATTTGGAAGTTAAATACAAGCGGAAATACCAATATAAATTGTTGTATACACAAAAAAATGAATAAATACATAATATATAGAATCAATCAAGACAGCCTAGACACCCCTCTTTCTCTCTCTCCCTCTCTCTTCCATAAGTAATTATGAATCCAAGATAAAGGGAAACCTGTGTATTTTTCATGTGCTGCTCATGAATATCATGAACTTGTTGCTCAAGCAGCCTAGCACGCTTAACCATCTTTTGGATGTAGTTCATTTTGCGGCAATGCTCCTCTTCAAGTCCGTGATTCTCTCTTGTTGCCTAGAAATTTTGTTTGCATTAGATTACTTATTGGGAAACGTGAAAGAATAGAGATTACTCTGCCTGAAAATTCTATGCACTTAAATTTTGAAAAGAAAAAGGAATAAAACTAATGGCTATAAAACAGCGGAGAAAATAATGACTGATATTCATTATTTTATATCTGAACTGATAATCACAGTATTGTTCATATGTTCAATATCACAGGCTTCCAAGTTGTAGATTCTGTGAAATTTTTTTGAAAAATAAAATATGGTTTAACAGGGGTCCGATTACAAATAGATTCAGGGGCAAAAAATATTTTTTTTTTCTCAAATTGAAAGACAGTAGACACAGAAGAAACCCCAGGATAAGAATTCAACTTCAATATGCATAAAATGAGATCAAAATTTCAGCTAACTACTTTTACAAACTCCCATGTTTAGGAGTTGGAATTGAAATCTAACTGTCATTTTACCAAGGAAAGGGTTTCTTGCAATTCATCCTTCATTCTTCTCACTTCGGAAGTTTTCTCCATCATGCTTGCAATTTGAGCCTTCTTCTCGATATGACGTTCTCTTAACTTTTCCACCAGACCCTACAGCACCATTCAGAAGTTCAAAAGATTAAGTACCAACTGTCCCTGATATGAAAGAAAACAAATAGATAAATTCTAATGGATACGCTACAGCTCCAAGAGGAGAGATAACACAGGTTGAAATACTATATCAGAAAACTTTATAATATTAAGTTCAACACGAGTGTGTGCCAAGGGGATGCATAGCTTAACTAACATAGTTCATTACTAATTTACTCACCACTTGATGATCAATTTTTGCTCGACAAATAGGAACGCGATCTTTGAGCTTTCCTATTTTTGCACTATGCTCTTGAAGTTGTTTGTCTACATCATATACCCATGACCAAGCAAGCTTTTTCTTTAAATGTTGGACCTGTTGAGAGATTTCTTCTACATGCTCCATGTTTCTAATTTTTACTTGCAGCTCATTTAGTTCCTTCTCTACAGGTCGTATGGTAGACTCCAAGTCATCAACAAGCGCATTCGAAGATCTCAATTGATCAAAAATGTTTTTCAATAGATCATCAACTTGCTGAAGAAGAGTAGCCTTGAAAAAGAACTGAGCAATAGAGTATCATTAGAGCAACCATAACACTACCAGAATGTGAACAAAACAGCTTGCATTACCTTAAATTTGTCTTTGTCGTTCCCAGAATGCAGGAACTCTCTACTTTTGTCCTGACTCATTATTACACATGGATTCTCAACATCTATCTGCATAAGGTAAAGCAGATCTCTTCTGTCACTCTCGGAGATTGAATATGCATAACATTTATATCTCCTATGAGTTCTAGGCTACAAGGATGTACCGTATATAAATTGGTAACTAACAAAAGTCACTTAAGTATTGCAAAACCAGTTCGGAAGTATGCAGTAACTAAGTTCAAAAGAGTTCTTCAGCTTATTTAGAAGTTCAGGACACCCCAAGCAAGTCAATACAATTAAAGACTTGCAGACAGCACCAACTTGCAAAGCATCACGAAAAATGCTATGTTTTATTAATTAAATGCAAAACTTACATTTGGGTTCAAAAAGTGAAGACAGGGGTTGATGGGAAGAAGAAGAGTAAACATGCACATCCCTTGCCTTTGTTACATCTCACAAAATACTAGAGAACCTTGTGTGACCCAAATATAAAAAACGGTAAGTATAAAAGCCAACAGATTACAGCATACAAGGTAATGACTCACATTAAAATGTTCTACTAGCTCTCGAAGTTCATCCCTCCGACCTGCAACCTTTTTTCCTGTGAGATACCGTATAAAAAAAAGTGTAGCAGTCAATCCCATAAAATCATACAATGCTGCAGTTGTGCTTTGTATTACATGCTACATCCAACTCTGAAATATGATTCACAAGAATATTATTGAAAAATATAGTACTGAAATTTCTAGATAATTAGACATAAGACAATACCAAAGCCCAGTGCAAAAGTAAAACAGAATCATACCAGTAAACTGACAAGTAAAAATTAAAAATAACCAGTCGGGACTCAGGTGTGAGTCATGCGCCAAATATTGCAGAATGCAAAAAAAAAATTTATTTTTTATTATCATATAAACATTTCTAATCTTCAGAAAAATTTCATTTAAATACAGAAATGGTTGCCTTCAACCTCTTCTCCCTCGCTCTCTTTATAACCACTTTCTCACTGATAAACTCACTAACTTATCTAAAAAACTCAATAAATATGACTAATATACCCTTAAATAACAAAACCTGTCATAATTCTATTGCATTTTGGACAAAATGTATTTGCATTTAGATACATGGATCAGAATATTCCACATTTCCAACTTTATTCAGTTATTGATAAGTAGAGCTTGCGGGCAAAAGGATGAACTTACTAGTGGAAAGTAGGAAACAGTGACATATTTTTGACAAACAAAATATAAATAAAAAGATGATGTTTCTGACCTTGAGAGTCCTTCAAAACAATACCACTGGTGGATTCAGAAATCCTTCTCTCAATAATTATGACGTCACCATATATTCCATGCTTAAAAGCATCCTCCCCATTATTTTTCAATTCAACATGGATGACAGCATGACTGTTAAGATCCAATACTGTGTGCGATTTAGAAACTCAAAAAGGATATTATACATGTAATACAAATTGTGAGAACTTCTAGGTGAATGCTATAAAGGAAGAGCCCAGTCAAATTATTTTTTCAAAAATATTTTTATTGCCTTGGCAGCGACAATACCACACACTCTACAATATTAACTGAATGTCCATATTACATTACTGGTAATGCGTAATTTCAACAAGATGCAGCTTAACAAATAGTCCAGCCAGGGGACACGAGAAGAAAGTAAAAGGTTTTTCGGAGAAATGAGTTAAAACACGTGACCAGCTTATATAGGATATTAAAACCTAACGAATTTTTTGGCAACTAAATGTTATAGCAGGCGACGTCCATGAGATTAGTCGAAGTGCTTGTAAATTGCCCCCAACGCTTACAATTATTTTTTAAATATAAATAAAAAAACAAACAAATGGTTGAATTATCCACATGATAGAAAGCAACACAAATTAACAAACCTGCAACCAGTTTTAATAAAATCCTTCAACGTTGATGCCCTTTGGGTTCCTTTAGCTCGACAGCCGAATGCCACACATAAAGCAGTCAATATAGCACTCTTGCCACCTGTTGACATCAAACTTGCTGGCATGAAACTCATGGTGTAAATTGCAATAGCATTAGAAAATGGAAAAACCATAGCAATGGTTCAATCCAGATTATGGGCTAGTTTCTCTCTCTCTCTCTCTCTCTCTCTCTCTCTCTCTCTCTCTCTCTCTCTCTCTCTCTCAAGCAGGAGAACTCCTCCAGCTACAGATTCCTTCAAGTCCATTTCTTCACATAAATTCCGATGGAAAAAAACAGAAAACGAAGAGTGTAGTCGACTTACTTCCGTTCTGACCAGTAATGAAATTAACCCACTCGCCAAACTCAATATGCAAGTTGCTGTGACACATGAAGTTCTCCAGGCGGATACTCTTAACGATCCCCACTGCGCAGCGAGCAGGAAGAGCCCTGGAATCAGCCATGGTCAGGCCTTTAGGGGTTCCGCGAATCCTTGAGGAACGGAGAGGCAAAGGATCAGTGTATGCGGAGAAGAAGCATGAAAAGTTTGGAGTGAGAAGAAGCGGAAATGGGAGAGGCGTAATCGGACGGGAACGAAGTTTTGTGGCGGGAAGATGAAGCTCTGTGTTGTGTTCTTGTCTTTCCCTTTTGCTGTCCTTTCTGAAGAATGCGAGTGCGGGTGGCGCGCGGAATCCTTATAAATGAAAATAAAAAATAAAAAATAAAAAATAGAATCTCTTTTTTTACTTAAAATGCAGAATTAGTCAAGGCTTGAGTTTGAATTTTTCCATTTTAATTTCTTTTCATCGAACTAAACCCTAAAATTAACTTTAACGGATAAAATTGAGTTTTTTTTTTTTGAAACAGGGATAAAATTGAGTTAATATATCTTCAAATAAAAATTTAAACTAAGCTACTAAAAATTTCAACCAACCAAAAAAAAAAAACTAACACACACCACATTATAGAAGGAATTTGAACATTAATTGAGTCACGTTCTATTGGAAATATTGTACCACTAATGGAAGTATTTATTTTACCACTTTGTTTAAGTTTATGATTGAATTTGATGAGATTGATTATTAATTTGTATTTTTTCAAAATAATAACAACACAATTAGACCCACAAATGTCTAAAAGTTCTAATATTTATAAATTTATCATAATAGAATCCAATTAATAAAACTCTATTTATATATTTTTATTTAATAAACCTAGACCCACCGAAGATAATTTATCATTTTAATTAAAAAATAATATTATAAGTCCTAAAGTCTAAACTTTAAACCTTAAAAAGATAATATACACTACAAAATTCAAAGAAGAATTGTTGAAAAATTAAGCCGGACTAAATGTATTGATTAGTTACTCATTATTTATTAAAATATTATTATTTAATCAAATATTTGTATTAAATGAAGTCTGAAATTACTCGTACCGTAAAATGGGCCCACATAGGAGCCTTCGATTATAGACCCGTTGGGCCAATAGCGAAACAGAACCGAGATGGGCCTGGCTCCGTAGGGCACCGTAACTACCGCTGCAACGGCTGTTTTCGGACAGGCTGGGGTACCTTAATGCCCGGCTTGATAATGTTTACATAATTTTTGGAAACAATTTGATATCTGTCAATAATAATAATGATGATGATGAATCCATTTTTTCTCAAAAAAAAAAATAAAAATTATAAAAAATAATTATGAATCCATCGCTTGCAATCACATTAGCAAGTTTAACATTTTTTTAGAAAATAAGTTTATCGTTTTAAATGTTGATATTATGAATTTTTAATATTTCATACATGAAACAAAGAAAACTACTAATAAAATGGTTGGTAGATGTTATGCATAAGATCTAAGATTAAAATTGTCAAAGTTTCCAACCAACAAGTTATGATTACGATTCTATGAAAATGGAGATTCAAACTCTCAACCTCATGGTTGAATACACGTGCCTTAATCTGCTCCAGTGGATAGTTTAATAGAAATCTAAAAAAAATATTTATGAAGAGGAGAGTCTCCAACGTAGCATAAAGTACTAATTAAAAAATCCCTTTCATGTGTGCTTCAAGAAAATTTTTTTCTTTCTCACAAAAATTGTATTTAATTTAGAAACAATTGAAAAAAAAAAACACGAAGAGAAGCAAATAAATATCACTCTAAAACAAATATATATATATATATATATATAGTACAACATGTGAGTTGGAGATTTAGATTCACGATCATTTGATCGGAGATAAGTGTCTTAACCAATCGAGTTATACTTAAGTTGTCAAAAATAAAAAATTATACTTAACGATCTTAGATTGAGTGGCTATATGGTTCAGTCCAAATCCCCTATAAGATTTTAAAGGTTGGCATATTATGCACAACATCCATCATATAGAAACACCCTTCAATTCAACCCTTCAATTCATGTGCTCGAAAAGGCAAAAATAGTGAAACAGAGTCGCAAGTACATTAGAAAGTTTCACAAGAACACTAAGAAATTCCATTGGAAAGTAGATTTGAAATTAGAAGAGAGGGAAAAAAAAAAAAAAAAACTTCTCCTATACCAATCCCCACCAATTGAAAAATACCAAAAAAAAACCCCCTTAAAAGCTATCATATTAACACTCAACTACCGTCTTCTGGCCTAGAAGGCCATTGGCACCCCCACCACAGCCATCGCTGTTTTCAGGCAATTTTCTCTTTGGTTTGGCCTCTTGTAGCATCAAAACGACGTCGCGCATCGATGGTCGATCTGCGGGGTTTCGACTGGTACAGAGCAGAGAAATACGAAGCATTTGTATCATTTCTTCCCTAACAGATGCACAAGATGCCCCAGCATTTTTGTCCAAAATTTGACTGATTCCATCCTTGATCTTGATCTTGGATCTCACCCAATCCACAATGCTATTCCCATCCCCAAATTCTGAATCCACAGATCTCTTACCACTCAAGATCTCCATCAATACGACTCCGTAGCTATAAATGTCACTCTTTTCATCTACTTGAAGTGTATACGCATATTCTGCAAAAAGCAAACACGACCTCATAGTTAGATATCTTATAAATTATTACATTTATCCTAACTCATCAACTCAAATTGTTGGGTTAAACAATATCAAAGTATGAGGTCATGCGTTTAAATCTCTATCTTGATTATTTTTCCTACATGCATTATGAAAAGTTAAAGACATTCTAAGAAGGCAATGACTGGCCTCTTCTTTTGTTGTTGTCTTTCTTGTGTGTTCGATCTTGTGTTAATATCGGAATACACGATTCCCGATGGAAATTGGAGGTGGGGTCCAGTGAATGAAGATGGAAAGAAGAGAGGATTTCAAATTTGGACAAAAGGGGGGAAAAAAAGAAGAAGCTTGAAGTAGAATAGTGCTGGATTGGGTTAAGGAAAAATTGCATGTGCCAAAAGGAGAATTGTTTTTGTGGTGTCCCAAACCCATTGGGTGTCATTTTGAGCTATATGAAACTATACACAGTAACAAGTTTGCTGTGTAATCTCAGCCATTGCTTTTTGATGGGTAATATTCTCTTGGATCTCCAATATTGAAAAAAGATAAAGTGTTGCACTTCTAGGTTCATGTGCAATGTCATTAAATTAAAAACTAAAGAAAAGGGTTAAATTTGGGATTATTAGAGAAAGAAAAAGTAATTAATATACACCATGATGTTTATGTTAAATTTGGCTTTTTTTAAGTTACTTTTTGAAATTTTGTTAGTATTATAAAAATATTACAAAAGTAGAAGACGCTAGGAATTTAAAGCTTGTTTGTTTGAGAGAATTTTTCAAATTACTTTTTAAATTTTAATGAAATTTGTTTTAAAGGAAAAACAAGTTTAATTATTAAAATAATAACACCGGTAGTCTGTTAAAAGAAAACAAACAAGGCCCATAATTATTTTTTTTTCTTTTTTTTTCAATAAAGTTCAGAAACATTATTAAATAATTTTTTCGATCGTATAATTTTTATAAATATTTATAAATTATTATTTTTTAATTAATCTAAAAATTCAAATATATTTTCGAGTTGGATAAAGAAACTTACTAATAAAATTGTTAAAAATAGAAACCGCTATCAAACCCGAAAACAAAAAAAAAAAAGAAAAATTCAGAGAATTTGAGAGGA